CAAGCTTCCGTCCAGTTCAATCGCCCGACATATATCAGATTGCAAAGAATGTGACAAGCCTAGGGACACCTTTCGTGTCTTGATCCGTCAGAAAGGTAGCCGTCTATTACGGTTCGCTGAAGCGGCTGCCATTCGACGTTATTAGCCCGATTTGCGTAAACAGACCGAATTTGTGGTTAGCCTCGCGCTGCCCTGGTAGGTGTCACTGTCCCTCTCCCTCCCCCACCCCCGCAGTGATTCCGCTCCCTATCCCAACGTCCAATCCGGCTCCTCTTAGTGACCTTTGGCCTTCGTATTGATCTCTCTTCCCCGCGTATGTTCGCCTGTCCCAAAACCTGTCACTCTTTTAACCAAACGTGATCTGAATGTATGTACACAGCTGATGAGATTACCACGAAATAGTTGAATTCAACACATCCTGTGATCATGATGCTTCTTCTTGCTCTCATGAAATTGTTAAAGAGAACTGGTTGCATGAAACAATTATTTGCTTATAACCAAACAGATGAATATGACCTTCGTGTGAGTAACGAGACTGGAAGTTAGGGTTCAGCGGAATACACCTGTTCACAATTAATTCGGGGCAGCAGCACGAGTGCATGTGGAAAAAATAGTAAGGCTCACTAGAATGATAGTTCAAGTGTGAATCGCACTAAATCAACAGACTGTACGAATCTTCCATTGTAAACTTTAATTCGATCTACGTTACTATAACTAATCGAATTCGCTAACGGGTTTCAAAAGTGGATGCATCGACCAGTGGAGTGCTTCTTTTTATGGTGGCATCACTCTTAACGCCTAAGCGTGTTTTGGTTGAAACCACCTGTTGTTCAAGCACCACTTTTTACTACACCTAATCATATCACTCTCTCGCGCCATCAAATACCCTGATCTCAATATCCCCAACCTGTTTTCACCCATTATCTGCCTCGGTGAACATCTCATATTGTGGCAATCTGTTTGGTGGCCTAGATAACACGTGTCTTAACCAATGTAATCTATGGAGGTTGTACTGCTTATTCGACTGCCCCATCAGGCTGGTGTAATGCGGCAAAGACAGCGGTGTTCGAATACCGATACACAGGTAAATGTGTTTAATCACCTACAGATCCGTGTTTGCATATCACAAAGTACAATAGGATGGCCTGATAACCTGATTTTCGTGAACGGTACTCAGTTGAACCTCAGTAACACTCTTGAACTTTACTCACAAGTGTAAAGTGACCTCAATTCACCAACAGGAACAAAGAAACACTTGGTATCAGTATGTTTTTTGCTCGAAATGAACGTGAGAGTAACCAGGATTTTCCTAGCACGCTGCCAGCTAGTGAAAAGCAGGAATGTCCACTGTTTAGAGTATTAGATAAGCCTTATTCTACCGTATCCAGACGGATCGGTGTACGTCACCCTCTCTCCCGGAGTGGTTGGACTTACGCTACAAGCGGCAGGCTACAACAAAGGATATTTCGGAGTCTACGAAGGAATCTTTTTATAACCCCATGATCAATTCTAAGTCAAAGTGGACATAAACAAGCTTTAAACAATTGCGGTTTGAATGAACAACTATTTGAATGACCGATCGCGACACTTGATGATGTTAAATTCTAAATATAAAGCTCTACTCGGATAACATATAAGCACACTGGAAAGTATACCGGTTGTTAGTGGTCACGCACATCTTCCATGCGATAAGCTCAAGTTTAAATGCCGGACTGTAAGGTGGATGTTCACTACCGATGAGCGCTAATGAGAGACGAAGTCGATTTTATTACTTCCGGGTGCACGGTTGATGAGAAGACCCCAGGATTAAGTCTGTTGGGCGGCTAGTCACAATAAAAATGTGTGCCTCGCGCCGCTACTCACAAGTAGTTGTCCACGGAAAGTAAAAAGAGTATAATTAACCAGTTGGGAAGTGCCAACCACTAAAACCGCTAGGTATTTACCAACAGGACAGATCTGAGATATCGGCTGATTAGTGCAATGCAATCGTGCGTAACTACAACATTACATACTCCGTGAAAAATCCTGGAAGCAAGTAATTATTGACACCAGTCATGATAAAGTCGAAACACAATGACATAACATAACATGAGAAGGGAGATAGTGGAAATTGAAAAATATATAACAGTTAAGAGATTTAGTGAGTAAATTATCAAAACTAGCTTAAAATACACATCCGCGGACTGAGATCTCCGACAGAGCCCCCAGCATGTCAGATCTCATTATCAAAAACTGGGTTCAGATTGAAGTCTCTCATGTGAACAACCTACCGTTGAGGTGGACAAATCAACTGTACAATTCGGTCCCATTCGAGCTAGCTCCGTGCCAAACAGTTCGGTGAGCTCACGGATTAGATGCCGAGCACGAAACGACAACGCCTTCCTCACGGCAACTAAACGTGATCTGATAAGGGGAGTAATTTTACGTGCAATTATGATTGTTAACGAAACAAATGAAGCATTGGACAGTATGATAAAAAACATGATAATCAATAACAGTCAATCTCCTCTTATGTCACACTCCTAGGGAAATCAAAAAGGTGGGTAAGTTCAAGGAACTGCGCCATAACATGCTAGTTAGTAGCAGATGCTATTGAGTAGTATCAAAAATCGATTGGGTGTTTCGAAAAAAAGTAAACCGGATGGATGAAAAGTCCGTTCATTTAGTTACTTGTTCCCATGTTCATAACAATGTACAGTTTATTTACAACGGAATTTAGATATACCCTCTTGCGTATCCTTTGTGTATCGAAGAAATTAAAACCTCTTATGATGCCCTCAGCTTAATATCGGTACACTGCACGAGGTATTCAGCCCCTTTTTCAATTTCAAGTGTCTAGTTACCCCGAAACTACCCACTTTCTTCAGGGGTACTTTTTTCTGACCCAATTATCCCATATTAGTTTGAGACACTCCTCCATTCGGTTGTAATGATAGGCTACCCACAGAATTGAGCATATAACGTCCACCATATTATACAACTGTTTTAGCTATAATAATCACATCAGTGTTAACCCATTCAAGGAAAACAAAAGTGGACCAGCTCGAATACAGTGAGACAAAAAATCGCATTCGAAGGAAATAAGGACATCTAAAATGAGTGAAATATCTGTTACAGGGTATACTCAGACTTCTTTCTCATATCCAAACTCATTCTTCGATGTGCAATCTATTTATGATTTTATGGTGAAAAATGTATACCAAGAGTGTATGTAGACATCTATTCGTATGCTTTTGTTGCTACCAGTGTATGTTCAAACCGATTGATACATTCGTCATGACCGTTGTTGATCGGATCAAGTTACACATGAGATGCCATAACCTGATTCAGAAGCTGTCGAAGTGCAGCTCACAAACGGTCCTTATCCCCAGGTTACGATGACCTTTGGTTAGACAGGTTACTACCTGTCTAATTTCATAGGTGCCCTAGCACGGACAAGTGCGAGTATCGTTCGTTCATTCACACAGGCGCATCCGCGCAACGACGTTTATCAATCGTTGGGGTCTGACATCTCACTTCACACACCGACTTACCAGTCAATTGCGATTAGCGTTCATTCGTTTACACCCTAGTGTGACAGAGCCCATCGATAAACCGAATGGCTTTGTTGATCACTGCGACAAAAATGAACACATTCGAGTATCCCACAGAATTGCAGAAAACTGCAGATTACAACAAAGCAGGACGTTGAACGTTGCGTTCTGGAACTTATCTACCCAAATTGCTGAATATGTGCGCTTTAATCATATACACAAAGGAATTCATGTTAAAAATTAAGGATGCTTTTGTGAAAAACCATATTGCCATGTTTGGAGTGCCAGTTGTTAGTTAAGCGCACAAATACTGCAAACGGGGAAAACGAATTCGTGCCGGTTGGCAAACTGCCCTTGGTCGTACTACTCCCAGCAAGAGGACCGTATCTACCATTGTGAGTAACAATGTCCGTTTTATGTTTGGGAAGCTTACGGACTTATCCTACCTGCTCCAGCGAAAGGAATTTCGCACCTCTTGTGTCTTCAGGAATCATGGCTCAATGAAGATGTGGACGATTCCGTTGTCCAACTATATAATTTCGTCTGCTTCAGGCAGGATAGACAACGGTGTAGGAAGAAGTTGGGAGGCTGTGTGATTAGTTAAATCAATTCCAACTGGTGCGGTAAGTCCGAAGTACTTTTTAAATATTCACAGAATGGCGTTGATTGCTTGACTGTCGTCTGTCACCCCAAATTCTCCCGCTTTCCTTGTATCGTCAGCACTAATTTATACATGGCACCCCAGTGTAGATTGTCAGACATTGACACATTTTATGATAGTTTCCTACCGGTTATTGTCCCATCTCTTGCTGACACCTTGCACTTAATAACTGGTGATTTTAACCACGCCCCCCGCACCCTTTGTTGTGTCTAAACCTTAGTGCCCTGATTATTGAACCGACTAGAGGAAACTCCCATCCAGACCACATAATTACAAACCACGCTGACACCTTTTCCACCAAACAGTGCTATATATATATATATATACGTCTGATGCCAGACTGTGCCAAACACATGGTGGTACAATAATCTTCATTAAAAAAACAGCTCGACTGTTTGCAAGGTTGCCAGACCAAGGCAGGTGAATTTTCTTGGGGAATCCACAACCGGAGCCTTTGGCTAACCAAAGCCTGGCGCACAAGGCAGAGGGGCGGTGTGCTAAAACCGCAATCCATTGGGAGCCGGTTCTCCCCTTAGGCACCTGATCCTGGTCAGACCTAAGAATTACTCACACTCAGGACAGTTTTCTTTTACTCGACCCAAACATATCATGTTCCGTCTGCGAGATCTTTCCCCAGACAATATTGCCTGGCTTAGATCGCCTCTTAGGGTAGTTATCGACTGTTTTCCGTTAAACACTACTTGCTTGTCAAATACGACATTTCTAACGGAAGTGGTAAACTGTGTTTTTGGCATGTACTGTCCTGTGATAACTTTGTTCCTTCAACATGACAGAATATAAACACTTATTCTTAAACGTCTTCACCGTGAAAAGGAAAGTGCATTTAAATATGCCAGGAGGGCCGAAATGCAACAACTATCGTTTCTGATTAAGAATGAAATAAGACGGTTGGACGCCCTTTGAACAAGTCAGTCTTTTTGGGACGAGGAACTGTAAATCTGTGGCGTGGAATCAATCTACTCTGCAGACAGAAGAAAGTAATTTACAGCCCCTCTATTGATATTGAAAAACTGAATGTTGCATTTTTTTCATTTTTCGCACAACACATATCACAGTTATGATGATTCCAGTTCTCCAAACATCCAACCTTCGTTTGATCCCATCACCTCTAGTGAGATGCACAAACACATGTGATCTTTCAAGGAGTCGATCGCACCTGGTTCAGACAACTTAAGTCCTACCCTTCTTGAACACGGTGCTCTACCACTGTCTCAGATTTTCGCACACAGCTAATCTTTCACTAAAACTCCGAACTATTCCGGACTGCTGGCGCCCAGTGAGAATTACTCCCATCCCCAAAGGAACGTCAAAGGTCCCAATAGCGAAGCGTTTTAGACCAATTGCTCTCACCTCCACTGGTTTGAAATTGATGGAGCGATCAGTTCTGCACCGTCTTCATTTATCTCTTACCACCCCCGATGACACTTAGCAGTTGGCATACAAACAGAACCGCTCTACATTAGATGCCGTTTCTTCTCTAGGTCATTTCATCTGTAAGTCCCTCAAAGAGAAAGCCAAATATGTGCATTGTGCATTTCTCGACTACTCTTCAACTTTCGACTCTGTGCCCCGTTCTTTTTTCCTAAACAAGCTCTAATCTTTTGGCTGTCCCGCCTCTGTTCTTGAATGGCTTGCTGATTACTTTTCGCAAAGATATCAGTATGTTAAATTGGGAAGAAAACAGTCAACCGGATCACTCAGTAGCTCGGGTGTACTTCAAGGTGCTGTCCTATCACCCCATCTTTTTTCGACTTATATCAGTGACTTACCTGTTACTCTCCCTGTTCAACATTTTAGGAATGCTGATGATATCGCCATTTCTGTTTCCGTATCTAACTAATTCGAACTGGTTGAATATAACACAAACCTATCCCATCACGTTTCATATTCCACTACGTCCAGTCTTAATCTTAATCCTGAAAAAATGCTTTGAATGTATTTTTACTCTCAACCGTACCCCATCTTCCCCCGACAATGTCCACATTTATGGAAAGCCGATCAGCAGGGTCAGCCACGTGAAGTATTTAGGTGTCACACTTGAAAATAACCTTCGCTGGTCCTTACGTACTCAAAGTGTTGCTCGCAAGTTCAAAAGTATCTCTTTTCAGATAAGAAGATTGCGCCACTTCTGTTCTGACTCGTCAGAGATAAACGCCTTTGTTCACCAATGTGTCCTCCCTATACCCCTGTACTGCTCTCCAGTAGTTCTCCCTGGTTCGTTGAAGGTTGATTTCAAGTTGCTGAGGCGTGGTCTCTCGATGATCAATGATTCGAAACGAATTCATCTAATGACTAAAAAGAGAGTTGATACCAAAATTTTAAATAATCCACTTCTTTATCATCAAATTCCAAGCAGGCGATTTCCTCCTCAAAAAGACGTTCAACAATAGACACACAAAGTAAAGTCCTCGATCAGATCGGATTTATCCTCTGGTGGCTGTATCACCGGCTGAATCAATGTGGGTTTGAACCCAGTTTTCATGAAAGCGTTGATCAACACGTGCGGATGCACAGACCCCCAAGCTTTCTTTATCAGATTCACGGCCATGATAATGTCCACCTCGGCTTTCATGATAAGTTGCCCATCTTGGATCAAAGACAAAACATGTTCCAGTAACTGTTTCAGAAACGAATATTCGAAAGACCAAATCACACCCTGATCCATTGGTTGTAACCTTGAAGAACAGTTCGGAGGCAGCTGTACTAAGCTGACATAGGAGAATACTACAGTTTGATTATGGCAAGGGGCATTATCCATAAGTACTAAAATAGAGCGTCTTTGAGCGGTTGACATCAATCAGACGACTATGAAATAACGCAGTTATCCATGAGTTATTTGAAAACTTGTAAGTTCATGGAAGGCTTTTTCTATCTATACCTCGGAGGCATCGTGGAGTTTGAGATTTTTCAATAAACAATGGGTGATAACTTTTCTCCAATCATGCTCCCACAAAGCGTAACGTGAACCTCTCTATGGATATCTTGGGTCCAGAAACTGTCTTTCGTTTGAGACTTCTTGTTATTTCTGGGAGCTGCCTGTAATACAAAGCTGTTTTATTTGCATTGAACATATCACAATTAGTATATCCATGGAGCAACTGCAGTAACTCCGCTCGAAACTCGTCTGCTGCATTACGTGGTATCGCTATACTTTCCCCATAAACCTATAGAGTAACGCACATGAGTTGCTTGTTTCTTACTTTGTACGATTGAATAGCGTATCTGTTTGAACATAAGCGAAACCAACCTTTGGAAGTCTTGAAGTCATTACGATGCGATCTTTGTGAAACTTGGATAGCCTTTTCATATACGATGTTCACCACCATGGGAAATCTCCGTTCTTTTCCCTCATACGAGTAAACCAAGTCAAGGTTGTTTCAGTCACTATCTTGAATTTTTCGTTGGTATTCAGATGGCATCTTCCCGCAGATGCTCCAAGGTTCCAAAATTCTCTGACAATCGTTCGATAAGGTTTAACATTGTAGAAAACTTCTTTTCTTGAAATTCCGAGGTATTTGGCTACAAAGCTCTCAGTTGCACCTGGTTGATCAGCATTTATAACACATTTTGCTTCCCTCCGATCGATAGGTACTTGTGCATTTTGACGTAAAATGACANTGACATTGTCTCCGACCAAGTGCATCGCTGTCCCCCTCGCAAAGATTAGCCAATCAGTGAACAGTGCCATGAACGCCTCCCACTACGTGAAACGCCAATGGTTGAGTGCGACATTGCAGATTGGATGGTTAACGGTCGTCCACAACATCGTTCAACAACCAACTGAGTAGGTATCAGGAACTGTGATATATTGAGGGGGCGAGAGTGCATAGTCAGAAACTACATTATAACTCAAAGGGTTGATTTGCGTTTTAGAAACGTGAGAAGATACTGGAAAATGCGACTTCTCAGGGGTGCGACAAAGGAGATTGACTGTACCAATGTGGCAAAATATATCACGATAAGACCGCATCTTGACGGGACTTGAGAACTCTCGTGCTTCCAGGACTCAATGAACTAGACACGATGCCTCTCCCAGTTGCAGCTCTGATCGGGTCTAAAACTGTCAATGTACATACAGCAGTGGGACAAAGTTCAGTTGACCCAGCATTTGATCAGAACGGGAAACAGACACGATTTGCGCTTAAATTTCGTTCTTCAGTCGGTGTGCAAAATATGGCTCCTAACTGTACTAAAGTAAAACTGCATTCATTGTTCAACAATAAACGTGGAGGGATGTGGATAGGGGAATAAGAGTAGTCTATTGGATCTACTGCTAGGCAAACAAACATTCCTTTTGGATAGAGTGGTAAATTGTGAATGGTAAGGAGTAAAGCTTCACCAAATGTAAACAACTTTGGGATTGGATTGATGAAACACAGCAAAATTTCGAGTCGAAAGCTTCCCAAGAAATACCCTCTTGTTGGAAGGAGATCTCGTGAAGCCTAACAGGCGTTTACGTTTAAAGTACCCAATTATCCAATTCTTCGCATTACCAGAACACACGAGATGATTACCGGATGTGAGTATTATGATAAGCGTATCAGAAACCAGTGGATTGGCTGAATTGAGAAATATCCTGTACCATATTTTCATCCTTTGCGGAATTCTGGAGTACCGACATTCTTCTCGTAAACCCACCATTTCCATCTTTCTTCATCTAAAAGCGGTCTTCCACTTAGTTCACCGCACTATCTCCTGAGGCTCCCTTTCCCGGAAGGACGTATACGAGAAGTTTAATATTACGGTTGCTTACTACCAATAGTCGAAGTCGAGCTCGAGCTTACGGTACCATTTCGCCCGAGTTCACCACAGAAAGCGGCGTTCATCAGCGTTACCCCTCGCTCCTTTTATATTCAATCTCGTTATGGATTTGACTTAGATACAGTTATATCCTCGAGTTAGGATAGTGGCGTCCAGAATGTGTGGTGCCGTCGAGACATCCGACTGTCTGTGGAGGGTCGAGTTTATGTCGCGGTAGTTCGGCCAGTGCTGCTACACGCTGCAGAAACTTGTCCATTAAGCAAACTGAGTAAAGATAGACTACCAGTTTTCGAACACCGCTACCTACCGCACCGCACGAGTCTGGTGGGGTAATCAGACAAGCAATGCTGAGGTTAGGCGCAGAGTTTTAGGTGACTGCGGTCCCTGAGTTGGGCAATTGGTTGATTTCCATAGATTACGCTGATTGAAGCATCTGTTACACACGCCATCAAATAGTTGGCCATGGAAGGCGATGTTTGCCGGGGCAGTTAGTGGGTAGAAAAAGGCTAACAGTGACCAAATTAAGACCTGGCATGAAGGTAAAAAAACCCTGACCAGGAGACTTCCTCACAAAACTCGTATGAGGTTTTGTGGATGTGGAAATCGGGAACCTTGTTAGAGTCCCTGAGTAATATCGTCAACAGTGGAGCTCGTGCAGCTAATTAATGCCATTGGGACCATGGTCCTCAGGAATTCTCTATTTCAGGCTGTCACTGGTTTTGAGCATTCCAATATCTCCTTTACTTGTTCATCAAAATGGGCGATCATGAAAGAGCAACTGAAACCGCAGTACAGAGCACATTCAACAGTTGTTCTTCAAACTGAAACTGAATTTAATACGTAAACAATACCACACCGGTTAAGAAGCTGTCTTCAATAGAACACTTGAAACCTTCAATACAGACGTAAGATATTTCTCGAAACAAACTAGCAAGACCCCATTCAATAACTATACGATGTGCTTCCAATCTCACGATCCATTTTCGTGTGTTAGGTGATTCGTTGTCTAACGCTCACTGTGTAGCTCTGAGTACGCTCACTTTCTGACTAGATTCCAGTCAGCAATCGACTATGGGCTGTACGGCCTGATGGCTCAGTGCGGTTCAACAGCCGCATATTCATCGTCTCCGAGCAGGCGTGCACCAAATTCAGCTGGTCTGCGATGAAGAACTGACTATTCAACCGATTTCACGGAATGCTCTTAAGTGCTCGCTCGATGGAACTAGTCTTTACTAGCGAGTTCAACGCAAGTCAGGTTCTTTGGAGAATCAGAAAACATTGAACGAACAAGGGCGAGCATCTACCCCAACTTTGCACAGATCGTGGGATCGTTCCTGTCAAAAAGTAATTTATGGCAGTCACATTACACAGAGACCGCCCAAGTCCTCATAGTGATAGACTTCAATCGAACACCTCGTTGGTGAGGATCCTTTCATGACAGGCGCTCTTAGTGGTCTACACCAGACAGCACAGACGATCCTCTAATAGAAGCCAGATTCTGCTCGGTTCATAATACACACCATCATCAAAGCAACAGAAGATAAATGTTCACAACTCACCATAAGCAACAGTTAGAAATATTAATTAGAAGAACAGTGGCAATCAATTAATAAACAATTAAGTGAATTTGTAAACCCATAAGATAAATTCGTGAACAGAGCACTAGGTTCTGCTTTCCATTAGCACATCTTCTTGAACAACTAGTTGCATGTCTTTCCAATCGATGACTGGGCACTTGCCTTCTTACGCCCTTTTCATATGACAGTGAGACAAAACATAATTATGCATCGAGTTGCCTTTTTGAACGAACGTCAATTCGGTGCTGTCACGTGAGTCGCACGGCACAGATAAGCCACTCCCTCCTACCAAACCGATATGCGCAAAAGGTGACACGTTATGTTTGATGCCTTCGGGCACCAGGATGTATTTTGATCAGCTAGTAGACGGAGTAATGATACTAATCTCTAATTATCATAGACATTCGAAACACAGAGATTATGCGTAACCGGAAACAAATGAATCAATTAAACT